AGATACTGTACCACATGACCTGCTCTTTAAGTTAAAGGAAAATGCTGATTGGTTTTGTTTTAGTGACACACATAAGGAGAAATCCTAGACACTTGTTATGGTTATTCATATTTTCTATGCAGTATTGGTTAAATGAGTCTGAAGCTTTTCAATCTTCCACTTGTTTCAGACATGTTTTAAAGAATGTTAGAATCCAGCAGCCATTGCATTTTATAGTTGGAAAAAAATACAAAGTATTTATTCATAAAAATATTTGTGTGTTCAGAAGGAAGTATCTCAAATAAGTTTTTAAAGAAAGGTTTGCTGGACAAACTTTCGTTTTTATTTTTCATATTGTGCTTTTACAGTTTTTCTTGATTGCTTTGATGCAGCCGATAACTGAAACTCCACACAACTTGCAAACAAATACATGAGCTCTTTCAATCAATTATTACACAATGGACAACAAAATACAAAATACAGAACTCGGTGTGAATCAGTGCACCATTGCTTGCCATTGTAGCCTATTGCCAATGCCATTTGTTGTCATTCTATTTGGGCTGTCAAATGTGCCCTTTTGCAAAGAATTGGATCCAGAATAAGAAATGACTTGATTACATTTATTTTGAGTTCATGACATTTTTTAAACTGTGGCTGAAAACTGAAATACTGTAAAAAATAAAAATAAAAAAAACAGACAAAAGAAATAAAATACTGTAAATATTAGAGAAAACACATGTAAACCAAATATACAGTCAAATCTATTGGACATAGCCACTATTGACCTCCATCCATGCTGGCACAGAACAACACAGACCTTCCACCGTTTTTATAAGGTTTGTAGACTGATTGCTAATTGAAGATTTGTGTGAAGGAGTGTCAAACCAGTGCTTCAGTGAAATCATACTGATCTTGGTAGTTTCTAACAGTAAGGAATAGATGGTTTCTGTTTAGTTACCATAGCTAAAGCAATGGAGTTTGTACTGCTTCAATGACATCTGTGTTCACTGTTTTGAAAATGGTGGGGAAAATGTGTGACCCAATGAGAAAGGGTTCACACATTTGCAAGACCTGTCCTCTGCTCTGCTGGGATAGTGATAATGAAAATGAAGTGGAACCTAGTTTCTTTAACCCGATCAAAGCAAACAAGGAAAAACTGTAATCAGTTTGTTGTAATATTTCTCTTGATCTTTACTGTGTTTTTGTTTCAATTTTAGATTTCACTGAAAGTCTTGATTCATTTCCCCATCAATTCATAAACAATATTTAAGGTTTTTATCTTTTCTATAAATCATTGATAATTTTACAATTCAAAGAAATTCTCAGTTCATTAAAAAAAGAGACTGATCCTCAACAAAAGAAATTATTTTTCTTGCATAAATGACTTTTACTATTTAAAGCTCGCATCTATTGTATTTTTCTGTTTTTATATTTTTTCCATTTTATTGTTATTTTTACTTCTTAGTTCAAATACAGTATTTCAGTTACATTAAGTTATTTCATGTGTCTTTGTTATTATTTTGAGTGACACCATGGCAACCCTAGTGATTCATTTTGATATTTGAGTACTGAATCAGTTAATCCTGTAGAAAAAAAAAAACTGTCTGAATGATTTGTTCATGAATCAGACATTTTGTCACTTTAGAATTAAAAGGTTCTATCTGACATTTTTGTCAAAATGGAGTTATTGACATATTCTTATAAAATGACTACTTTTTTACATTATGGGATGTTTTTTTAATAAGTTGTTTACATTTTAAGTTTACTTTTATTTAAAAGTAAAAAAGTTTTATTTAAAACTTTAAAGCTCAATATCTCAAAATCATTCAGAACGCAGATTGAACCTTATAATTCCAAGGTGACGATTTTTAAAGTTGAACTCATCCAGTCGTAATTGCTCTCAACTCCACTTGAAACTTGATCTGTTTTTTCCACACATATTGCTTGAAACCGTTTTGATATCTTGTACAGTTGGTGATTTTATGTTATTTTTAATATTTGCTCACTTTATTTAGGCTAAATGTTTACTATTAGACCAACTTTTGCTACAGTTATGCTATAATTTGTTTAATACAGTATTTGTTTGAACAATTTTGTACTGTTATTATATACACTGAAAAAATACACTTGCTGCTTTTTTATCTACTCAGGTAAAATGAGTTAAATCAACACAATTTTTTTGTCATTTTTGGGACAACTTAATTATTTTATGTTCAATCCACTCAAATTTGTAAAATTACTTATTTTATTTAATCGCTTGGTGTTGAGACGACATAAACAATCTTGTTTTATTTTAAATACAGGTAATATTTTAAAGATTTGGTAGCAACACAAACATTACTTTTTCTCTAAATGCAATTAATAGCTACTGTAATTTTTGTTTATTATATAATATTTTGTATTATAAATATATTATTCAGTAATTTAGTTTAAGATTGTTTACCTTGTTTATGTGAATACATTTAGATTTGTGGTAACATTTATTTTTGCTGCCAGCTAACCATGATTTTTTCAACCCAATACAATTTAATACAGTATTAAAAAAAATAGAATTCTAATGGAAAACATTAACATTTGATTTTTATTTAATACTGTATATAAGCTACAACTGTATGCTAATATTTGACAGTACATCTGTCTTTAGCTTTTGAAGTTTAGTGTGGATGGATATTTTTCTGTTTCTCATTTAAAAACACAGCTCAAATGAAAATGAAGGAGAGTAAATGTAGCCTTGCTCTCAAACATATTTTGGGTTGAATTATTCCTTCGGTTCCTCATTCTTTACAGTCTAGCACATGGAAAAGAGAAACTAGCACAGTTTCTCCTTGTGTTCTGTCGTACAAGTTTTCAACAATGTTTGGGTGAAAAAAAATTATGACAGGACATTCGTTTTTCTGAAAGAAAAAACTGAACTATAGGAAAGTCACAAACTACCTCCAGGTGGATTGGGAAATGTAAAGAAAGAAAGAGAAAGAAAGACAGAAAGAAATGATAGCTTTATGTATATCATATATCTTTTTGTATTTTTCTTTTTCTTTTCTTTTTTTTTCTTTTATTATTTTTCTACTGTAATGGTATTGTGTATGCAACCTGTACATCCATTTGTTGTGCATCTCTATGATGCTTGAAGACTTGAACCTGATGCTTGCAGACTGTTAGCTACTGTATGCGCTACTGTGAAAGCCACAAAGGGGAAATAAGTGCTGGGGATGTTTTCTCTTTTTTTGACTGTTTGTTTTTCTGTTTTGTGAAAATTTAAAAACAAAAAACAAAACAAAAAATCCACAAAAATCCTATAAGTATGAAAGAAAGAAAGACAGAAGTAACAAAGAAAATACCTCCAGTTGGATTGAAAGGAAGGAAGGAAGAAAGAAAGATGGAAGAAAAGAAGAAAATATCTCCAGTCGCATTGAAACAAAGATGGAAGGAAATAAGGAAGGCAGAAAACGCATCCAGTAGGATTTAAATAAATAAATAAAGAAAGAAAGAAAGAAAGAAAGGAATTAGGGAAAGAAGAAAGGAAGAAAAGAATGAAAAATCATCATTTGGATTGAAAGAAAAAAGTAATGAAGGTAGGAGCAAGGAAGGAAATACCTCCAGTTAGATTGGACGAAAGAAAGAAAGAAAGAAAGAAAGAAAGAAAGAAAGAAAGAAAGAAAGAAGCATGGAAGGAAGAATGCAGGGCACATATGAGTTGGCCTTACTTGATTTACAACATTCTTGATTTGAGTCCAATTAAAGATCCAGAAGTGGAGCTCTGAATGAAAGCTTTCATTGTGAGTGGGTTCTTCTAGCTGGAGACTCGGGTTTGTCTGGAGGATCAAATATCCTCCTGTGTGTCCGAGAAAGAGAGCAACTCTGGTGGAGACCATGTTTTGCGGCTGAAGAAATGTGTCTGGAATTTGGTATCAAGGGACCCGTTCGTTCCTCCACAGAACCGCATTGACTTTGACTCAGAAGAGTGATTGTTAGCATGAAGCCTCTCTGTGGATGGAGGCGTGAAGCTGAAGATTATTGCTTAGCTTCAGTCTGTCACACAATCACGTTTCCTAACATCTCGAAATAATGTTCTAATGTTGGAAAACTGGTTTTACGATATTTCATTTTTTTTTCCTTTTCCAGATGATTGACTGCAACATTTTTTTTAATAATTAGGAGGGAGCTCATCTTCACAAACACAAAAAAACTCAAAAAATTACTTTTTATGTTTTTTTAATAACAAAATTATCACTCAAATGCAATCATTTTTTTCTTTTTCATTTTACAATACCATTTTGGGCGTCACAGTGGCACAGTGGCTAGCACAATCACATCGAAGCAACAAGTTCGCTGGTTCGAGCCTCGTGGGTTTGCATGTACAGTAACTTATGGAGTTTTTTATTTTAAAGGTGCAGTGTGTAATTTTGACACCCAGTGGTTCAACTAGGTATTGCATTCCTTGATCAAAACATGCAAACGCAGGTTGCCAGATTGAGAACTAACAGGAGCGAGCCTGATATTTCCTAATATGTTTAATCAGCTCGCAGGAGGAAAAAAAACAAGCCACCCTCACTGTTTACTCATTTATTGTTCCGTTTCTCTGGGAACTGCGTCACAATACGAAACAAAATAAGCGGGCACAGCTTCCGGTTTATGTGGTCTTTAAATGGGCAAATTCTATAATCTCTTTTTGTGCTTCGCAAGTTCACACGTCACCTCTCCATGCGTCCTCGACCAAAGGTGCGGAGCAAGAACACATCCGCGAATTTTATCTGTACTTGGCAAGATGACTTTGAGTTGGAACAGTACTTCGGCGATGGTTGATGACGTGTCACGAGAACACAAGAACGCAAGTGCAGAGAAAAACACATATTGAGAAACAGCCACAGATTTACTAACAGTGTCATTTGTTTATGTATGATGTCTGAAATCGTCATTTGAAATAAACTGCAGCAGAGCCTCAGTTCTTTCATTAGTTGCACTGCTACTGTTATGTGTGCTCATGACATGTTATTAATAATGTTCTGAATGTGTTTCTGCAGTGCGGACGGCACGGTTCTCTCAGGAGCCTGCAGACCAGTCAGTGGTGTTGGGCCAGAGGGTGGTCCTGTCCTGCGTGGTCTTCAACTATTCAGGCATTGTGCAGTGGACCAAGGATGGACTGGCCCTAGGCATTGGAGAAGACCTGCGGGGTCAGTCATACACAACACTTCCTTCTCTTTTCTTTCTTTCTTTCTTTCTTTCTTTCTTTCTTTCTTTCTTTCTTTCTTCTTTTCTTTTTTCTTTCTTCTTTTCTTACTTTCTTTCTTTTCTTTTCTTTTCTTTCTTTCTTTCTTTCTTTCTTTCTGTGATAAAATAATTGTAAAATAAATGTTGTCTGTGTTATAATAAAACCCTCTTTTTTTGAAAGTGTACCTTTTAGGTTCTGTGTGGTCTAGGTTGCTGTAGTTCTTGCACATGTCAGTAATCAGGAAAAAGAAAAAAGTCTCGATCATAATTAATGCAAAAGCTATTGTATTCAAACTGATTAGAAAAAAGAACAACGTATGCGGTATTGGGCCATACGGACCTTTAAATTTTAAAGAATGCAGAAGTAAATGATGTCACAGACCTGATACTGGGTACACAAAGTTTTAAACACAGGAACTTATCAGCAAATAAAATACTGTATTAGTGAGATTTTTTATTAGCCTTCACTTTTCTTTTAAAAAAGGGAAAAAAAAACTACATATTAAAAATATTTCAATTAAAATTAACCATGAGAGAATTACAATTAAAATAATATTTGCAACACTTTTTCTTTCAAGAGTTCACACTTAGCTGGTGATTGATTATAAAGCTTGTTTGGCATGCTGTCCCGGGAGAGAGCCCTGATCTCATAAGATCCTCGAGCCCGGGGCTCCCTCCCATTTGCAAGGTGAGAGGAAAGTTTGAGCTCAGGTAGATCTCAAGAATTCCCTTGCTGCAGATAGTGATTGATCTTAAGAGATAAGTACTTAATAAGAGCATGTCTATAGTGCTGATTTGGATTAGTCAATTATCTTAAGTTGCATGTTTTTGGATGGTGGGAGGAAACCGGGGAACCTGGGGAAAACCCACGTGAGCACGGGAAGAAAATGTAAACTCCGCACAGAAACGTCGGCTGGCTTGGTAAGGACTAGAACCAGTGAGGTTTTTGCTGTGAGGCAACAGTGCTAACCATTGGGCTACTGTGCCACCCATCTAGGAATGGAAGAGGAGTAGGGGTTAAAGGGGGATTCTCCAAAATGGTATATGGAACTTAGGGTATTTATAGTGGCTTAGGAATCGTCTGATTGGTGAATCATAAGTTGAATAATGCGAGACCAGACACAAGCAATCATAAGCACGTGATCCTCTCGAAATTAGTTTGTAAATAAACTTCATTTATAAAGAAAGTATAAACATATAAGAATGTCTTTCTTACTCTGTAATTTTCCGTGTTTCCCTGTGTGTGTGCTTTTTATTTAGTCTCCATCACTCTCACTGTTTTCCCCTGTTTGCTTGTTTTCTGTCCAGCTTCTGTCCTCTCGTCCCCTTTGCTCTTTTGCTTTCTGCTCCACTAGCTCATCTTTTTCTCACTCCTTGAGGACTGTCATGAGAACACTGAGGGCAGGATGTGGTATTTTTTAACCTCTGCCATTATAAATAGATAAATGTGGACCTGATAAACTACATTTGCTGCATTTGCCCGATTCGTTAAAAAGCATGAGGCATGAAGACACATTCACTTCCTTATCCCTTCCCTCTCTCTCTTTCTCCGTGTCTCTCTCACTCACTTTGACTCAGTGTAGTTGTATTTACACTGTGATGCTTCACTGGTTTGTCCCCGTGGCTTTCATATAAAAGCATGTGAACACATCCTGCACTCACACACACAAATGTGCACACGCATACATCAGCACATCCTCATACACACATAGCACACACTGATAACTCAATCTCACAGCGGAGAGAGGGCTGTGTGGGTTGGGGATGCGTGATGTAATTCACGGCAGAATTTTTGTCATTTCTCTTGCAGCAGAAGCTGGAAATGTCCATGTCATAGTGCTAGCATTTGTCAGGCAAACTCTACTGCCACCCAGTGGTGGAGAGTGTCCCCCTGCTGCACTGCATGCTGATTTTCCCCCACTTGTTAGTACGCAAACATCACTGTTACTACTGCTTAAGATCTGACATTCGAACAAACGTCAAGCCCCCAGTACTACAACCATTTGCTGATGCAGGAATGTGGGATTCAGCATTCATCATGCTGCTTCAGAGGTGGGCTGTTTTTCCAGGATAAATGGACGGGAAAATTATTGATATCTTGGGAGTAGATCAACCATATATAGCAACTCAATAAATACAGCAATTGCCGAACCACCTTAGCAACTGCATAGGAGCACATTAAAGCCCCCAAATCTGCATAGCAACAGAGTATAAAAACTCAAAGCACCCTAGCAACCACATAGTAGCACACTAAAACAACTATAAAAACAAAGCACCCTGATAAAATCAACATGAACATGAATAAAACAACATAGCAACATATAAAAAGATCCAAAGCACCCTAGCAACAGCATAGCAACACACTGCAAACCTCCAGAACATGATAGCAACCGCATAGCAACACACCAAACACCACCAAAATAAAATAGCAACAGAATAAAAAAATACCCAAAGCAACACAATGGAAACAAGAGTATGATAGAAACTGCATAGCAATAGAGATAATACCCAAAGCACCCTAGCAATCGTGTAGGAACACCGTAAAAACAACCAGAATATGATAGCAACAGCATAGCAACACACTAAAACAACCAACAAATATAGAAACAGTGCACCCTAGCAACCACATTGCAACATGGTAAAATGAACAAGAACATGATTAAAACAACATTGCAACATAAAAACACCTAAAGCACCCTAGCAACAGCATAGCAACACACTGAAAATCTTCACAACATAATAGCAACTGGATAGCAACACACACAAAAAAACCAAAATATAATGGCAACTGCATAGCAACACACAAAAATTACCTAAATTACCCTAGCAACTGCATAGCTACACTCAAAAAATAGCCAAAGCAACCCAAGAACTACATAGCCACACCGTAAAAAACACCAGAACGGGATAGCAACTGCATAGCAACAAAGTAAAAAAATACCCAAAGCACCTTAGCAACAGCATAGCGAAACTGCATAATAACACAATAAAAACCACCAAAAATTATATCAAGTGCATAGTCATACACACAAAAAATACCTCAAACAGTCCCTGCTGAAAATGCAGGAGTTTCATTGAGTGCACATGCTTACCGACTGAATTCTGTGTGCTCAGCAATTCTCTCAAGTTCATATATGATGTAAGAGATTCATTTCAAAGCTTCAGTGATTCAAACAGGAATTTTCACATAACTTGAGTTGGACTAGGATCAGGGTGGGGCCAAGCCGGAGCACTCACACTGATCCCCCGGGCTCTGCAATGGTTGGGGAAATTCTGAATTGAAGCAAAACAAATTATTACAATTGGCTTAAGATTGGTGATGAAAAATCTGGAAATGTGTCTACCAGCAGGACCTGGGAAGTTTAAAAAAAAAAATAAATAAATAAAAATAAATAAATAAATAACTTGTGCAAGACTATAGTCAAAAACGGACAGATTTGTGCCAGTGCATGTTTCCAGATTTCAGTGTGTATCTTGTTCAAATGAAGACCATCATTCATTTAAATGGAGTTAACTTGTAATTTTCCTTAACCAATCACCTACTCCCTAAAAATTATTTCAAGAGTTCACACTTTGCTGGTGATTGATTATAAACCCTGTTTGGCATGCTGTCCCGGGAGAGCCCTGATCTCATAAGATCCTCGAGCCCAGGGCTCCTTGCCGTTTGCAAGGCGAGTGGGGAGTTTGAGCTCAGGTAGATCTCGAGAACTCCCCTGCTGCAGATAATTGTTCATTTACCCCTGCTGTTCTTTTACCGTCCCCTACATCCCTACAATAAAATCTAGCTCAAAGTGTGGTGTGGTCCATGCTGGTGAAAGTGTTCCATTCTGATGTGTGTGCATGTGTTTTGCAGCCTGGCCGCGGTATCGTGTGTTAAGGCTGGTGGATGTTGGGCAGTATAATCTGGAGATCTCAGCTGCGGAACTCTCAGACGACTCTCTCTATGAGTGCCAGGCCACTGAGGCTGCGCTGCGCTCGCGACGGGCCAAACTCACCGTCCTCAGTGAGTAGAGTCTGCATGTCTGTGTTTGTTTGCTCAGAAACTACTGAACTACTTTGAGTTGAACTCAAAATTATTATTGTTATTATTTTTCTTATTCAAAATTTCCCAAATGATCTTTAACAGAGCAAGGAATTTTTCACAGTATTTCCTATAATATTTTTTCTTCTGGAGAAATTCTCATTTGTTTTATTTTGGCTATAATAAAAGCAGTGTTTAAAAAAAAACTTTTAAGGTTAATATTATCAGCCCCCTTAAGAAATGTATTATTTTCAATTGTCTAAAAGAGGGGTTCCCAAGATTTTCAGCTCATGACCCCCAAAATAACAATTCCAGTGTCTTGCGGACTCCACTATCATCAGAGGTGCTTATAAACATACAAACACTGCACGTAACGGTGCACACACACCAATAGGAACTATATAAACGAGCTTATTGACAATACAAAAAAGTGCAAGTCTAACAACCATATGATTTTTACAGTAATTATCCATTTAATTTAATATTAATTTCACTTAATGAGAATGGTGGGCACAATGTTTACAGTACAAGACTGTTCTTGGTTTATTTTAGAGACCGCCACTTTGAGATCGTCCTCTATGTTCAGTCATGGCCTTTATATTTAATGTATGTGAGTGCCGAAAAGGTGTCAAATTTTATTATTGTGCAAAATCAATCTGCTGCAACTAATACTATTGCTGTGTTGGTAATCTAGCATAATAACCCCAGCGGTCGCATTCCAATGGGAAAAAAATGAAAGGCTGATGGATTTTTATTTGCATGCTGCTTTTTATGTAACTAGTAAATACTATTTTTATCTTCTGTAGGTTATGGATAAAATATAGTCATTCTAATAGTCTAATAACATATATTATATTTTTAGAAATTACCAAGTGATCAATAGCCCCTTTCACATATAGTATGTGTGAACAGACCCTTTTTGAAAATACCAGTTAATTTGTTCCAGCAATTTAACGTAAAGAGAAATTGTAACTTTACTGGTAATTTGCCTGAATGCTGCATGCAGAAGCGCATTCACGATTAGAATGCGCTGACATGAGACGTCTACTTTAGCCATTCAGAACACACTGATGCATACACATCTGCGCGGTTTATGAAAATAAAAGCCTTTGAATATTCTTCCATATTTTGCCAGCAAACACACTTATTATATACATCTCGACATGCGAAAGTGTTTCTCTATCTATGTTTTCATCAAAGTTGTTCACAATACTTATCCATCCACAGAGTTTGTAATGTAGTCACATGTTCAAAAATTCATGAGCAGCCATTTAGAGCTAATTTCTGGTAAAAGATGTCAGAATTTACTGTTATTTTTAAATGGATGTATGAATGGTCTTTTCCGAAAATAATCTGTAACATCCTTGCCTTTGTGAACAGCGTTTTTTTTTTAATATGCCGGTGAAGTCGTTCACCACTGGTCTACAGAACAACTCATCAATATACAATGACTTGCCTAGTTACTCTAATTAACTGAGTTAAGCCTTTAAATTTCACTTAATGCTGAATACTAGTATCTTGAAAAATATCTAGTAAAATATTCCGTACTGTCATCATGGCAATGATCAAATAAATCAGTGATTAGAAATGTGTAGATGAATTTTTTTCATGATATACAGGGAGGCTAATAACTCTGACTTCAACTTTATCTGGATGCTCAATGCATGCTAAAAGCATATGCTTTAAAACTGCCTATGATGGTTTTTGCTTCTTTTTTTTTTTTTGAGGAATGAAGGGTTGACAAGTTCTGAAATGAATAGATTTATGAGTTGTTTCCATTATTAATTGAACTCCATATGTGCTTGTGTCTGTAGTTCCTCCTGATGAGCCAGTGATTGAGGGCTCCCCGGAGATCCTCCTCACAGCAGGGGTTCCCTACAACATGAGCTGCGTGTCCCGCGGAGCCAAACCAGCCTCGGTCATAGAGTGGCAGAAAGACGGCCTGCCGATAGAAGGGGCTGTCAGCACTACGGTGAGACACACACACACACACACACACACACACACACAAACACATGGGTATTGGCTCGTCTGCTACATTAGTTCTCATTTCATTCACAGACACAAATCACTCACTCCTTGGACTAAAAGACACAAGACACACTAAGATAGATAGATAGATAGATAGATAGATAGATAGATAGATAGATGGATGGATGGATGGATGGATGGATGGATGGATGGATGGATGGATATATGGATGGATGAATGGACAGACGGACAGACAGAGATGAAGATAGATAGATAGATAGATAGATAGATAGATAGATAGATAGATAGATAGATAGATAGATAGATAGATAGATAGATAGATAGATAGATAGATAGATAGATAGATAGATAGATAGATAGATAGATAGATACACTAAAAGAAATCAACACAATTTTGTTTTCTGAATATGACATTATTCTAATTGGTTGATTGCTTGTTTCTAATTGGCTAATGGACGTTGTAAAGTGTGCAGTTATTTTCAGAGAAATACAAGTTTATCCAACCTGGTCTTGACTGCATCACAGTTCCTTATGACTATGATATGTATGATGAAAAATTTAATCCAAAAAAACAACAATCAAAGGCTTTATGTAAGATTGCAAGAAACTACTCTTCCCAACAGGCACCTTGATGCCAAAACTACAACAAAAACATAAAATAAATTAGAAATACAAGTCGATTTGATGAAAAAAAAAAAACCATCAAAATCTAACTTTGGCATAAAAGCACATCAAAAAAACGATTACAGGGCAGTCCCGTAAACATTTTGTCACGTTTTTTGATGCCAATTTGATGTCATTTTGACATCAAGGTAGTTAACAAAATACAAAATCCAGTGTAAATTTGTAACTGAAGCTTTCAGATCAATAAAACTTTTATTTTTGTGGTATTTTGGTGGTCAAAAGGGCCTTAATGTGTGGATGTCAAATGGAAGTCAAGGTTTTGACATCAAATCGATTCTTATTTTTGACATCATGCTTGATGTTGTTTTGACATCAAGGTTGTCTGGTGACAAAAACTGACAAACATTTTAAAATACAATATCTTAACAAGGTATTCAGGTTTGGTAACCACAGTATAAGTAGAATAATTGTATACAGTTTGCTGAATTATTAGACATTAATGCACACTTGGGCGTCACAGTGGCGCAATGGGTAGCACGATCGCCTCACAGCAAGAAGATCGCTGGTTTGAGCCTCGGCTAGATCAGTTGGCATTTCTGTGTGGAATTTGCATGTTCTCCCCGTGTTCGTATGACTTTCCTACGAGTGCTCTGGTTTCCCTCACAAAGACATGCGCTATAGGTGAATTGGGTAAGCTAAATTTATCCATAGTGTATGTGTGTGAACGAGTGTGTATGAATGTTTACTAGTGATGGGTTGCAGCTGTAAGGGCATCCACTGCGTAAAACATGTGATGGATAAGTTGGTGGTTCATTCCACTGCGGCAACCCCTGGTTAATAAGGGGACTAACCCGAAAAGAAAATGAATAAATAATGCCCACTTGAGCTGTAATGATCATACATGTGTAATAAGTTGAAAGTTGTGTTAAGAGAAAAATCATTTGAAAGCAAGTTAACATTCCTTTAGGAGAAAAACACTGTGCAGATAATGGACATAGATCCTTCTATTTAGGCCACACGGCTTGTGTGGCTGTGTTTGTATACTTAAAAAATGCTGCTTTGCCTGACTGGGGATAAACAAGGCTTTAAGATGTATATGGGGTTTTTATCGTACCAACAATAAAACACTGTTGTTGATGCTGTGCAGGAGGTTCTTCCGGACAGGAAACGCGTGACTACACGTAGTTACCTCCCCATTCAACCTCTAGATACAGACACAGGGAAGAACTTCACCTGTGTGGCGACAAACCTGGCTGTTCCAATGGGCAAACGGGCCACCATCACCCTCAACGTACATCGTAAGTCTAGAATTCTTTTATAGATTCAATCACATCTATGGGGAGGGAAAGCAACTCTAAAAACTGAGGTTGACAGTGCTTTTGTGTGCAACAATTGTATTTTGTTTGGTTTTATTTGTATATTTAAAATATATATATATTAAATTTATTTATTTAATTTGTTTTGTTATTTATTTTGTTTTATGTTATTTCAGATAATTTTTTTACATATTATTTTACATATTATTTTTATCTTACATTTATTATTTTATATTCTGTTTTGTTTTATTTGTATTTTTTGAATTATTAATTTATTAATTAGTTTAATTAGTTTTATATTTTATTTTGTTTTATTTCGTTTCAGCTTATTTTTTCTTTATTTTTATATTTTATTTTATATTTTAGTTTTAATCTTTTATTTTAATTTATTTTATTTTTTGTTTTATTATTTATTTTGTTTTATTTTGTTTCAGACTATTTATATTTTATTTTTTATTTTAATTTTAAACTTATTTTATTTCTTTGTATATTTTAATTTATTAATTTGTTTAGTTTTTTGTTTTATTATATATTTAGTTTTTTTTATTTTCAGTATATTTTATTTTTATTTATTATATTTTATTTTATATTTTACTTTTAAATTTTTTATTTTATGTTTTGTTTTAATTGTATATTTTAATTTATTTATTTGGTTTTGTTTTGGTTTATTATTTACTTTGTTTTATTTTGTTTCAGTTCAATATTTATTTATTTTTTACATTTTACGTTTTATTTTAATTATAATATTCATTTTTTATTTTATGTTTAGTTTTATTTGTATATTTTAATTAATTAATTAATTTAGTTTTATTTTGTTTTTAATATTAAGAATTTTTTTAAATATATATTTTATTTGATTTTGCACCAGATCAGCACATTACAACGATAGATTTGTTGAGACTCCATTCAAAATTAAATTAAAAATAGGAAAAACCTGCCAACCACGAATTTTTGAACATTAACTTTCAAATGTACCAGACTATACTGGATACTATACCACTGGATACAACTCTTCAGAAAAGTCTTTATTGGTGTAACTTTATTTAGTCAGGTGGATTCAGTCATATGAAACAATATTATTTTGAAATATTGAATTATATTTGAAAAGCAAACTGTTAATTTATACCACATTAAACAAATTTTAACTTATATAATTCACAGCATATGAAGAGAAATACAAAAGAGAAGGACTTTCTTCGTCTTGCCAGTCAGTGCTGTTTTCATTGGCCGTCTTCTCAACCCACAGAACTGTACTTACATTTCCGAAGCAGTTTTACAGAGTATACCACGTTAAAACCTTCAAATGAGGTTAAAACCCTATTCAAGAAGATACTTGGAGCCATTACGAAAACCAGTTTCATTTGTTATCTTTGTAATCATTCACTGTATATTCATCAACTGCACATTGGTAGTTTACCTCTGTTGTGTTGCATTGCTACAGCTCCTAACCGTCAGTCCTTCAACATGCCTTTGATCTAATGAATGAAATGGCTTTATTATGTATTCTCAATGCTCTCTCCGCAGACCCACCAGTGGTGACGTTATCCATCGAGCCTCGTTCCGTACTGGAAGGAGAGAGAGTGACCTTCACCTGCCAAGCTACTGCCAACCCACCTATTATGGGTTATAAGTACGTCTCTTACAAAATGCGATGCTTAAAGTGGCTCCTTTTTACATTCTGCGAGATGAAAAATTAATGACTTGTTTTATCAGGGAGGTAAAGACGTCCTCTAAGTAGCATTAGGGCCCCATATATCTTCAGCCTTTCTCCATTATGGCAGTTGTACCCTTGAGTTGCCTTCTCCACATGCTTCATGGGTGTGTTTTCATGCTATCTGCTATTCATCACTGATTGGCTCTTTTGGTTTTTTGTATTTGTAGGTGGGCAAAGGGTGGTGTGGTCATACAGGGGGCGAGAGAGAGTGTTTTTGTCACCAAGGCTGATCACTCTTTCTTCACTGAGCCGGTGTCCTGCCAAGTGTTCAATGCTGTGGGCAGCACAAACGTCAGTATACTCGTTGATGTCCACTGTGAGTATCAGCACACTGCTTAGGGTGTAGAGTGCAAAAAATTAAATCTTTCTATCCATCCATCCATCCATCCATCCATCCATCCATCTATCCATCTATCTATCTATCTATCTATCTATCTATCTATCTATCTATCTATCTATCTATCTATCTATCTATCTATCTATCTATCTATCTATCTATCTTCGTCTCTGTCTGTCCATCCATCCATCCATCCATACATCCATGCATCTATCTATCTATCTATCTATCTATCTATCTATCTATCTATCTATCTATCTATCTATCTATCTATCTATCTATCTATCTATCTATCTATCTATCTATCTATCTATCTATCTATCTATCTATCTATCTATCTTCGTCTCTGTCTGTCTGTCCGTCTGTCCATCCATCCATCCACCCATCCATCCATGCATCCATCCATCCATCTATCTATCTATCTTCATCTCTGTCTGTCCGTCTGTCCATCCATCCATCCATCCATCCATCCATCCATCCATCCATCCATCCATCCATCCATCCATCTATCTATCTATCTTCATCTCTGTCTGTCCGTCTGTCCATCCATCCATCCATCCATCCATCCATCCATCCATCCATCCATCCATCCATTTATCCATCTATCTATCTATCTATCTATCTATCTATCTATCTATCTATCTATCTATCTATCTATCTATCTATCTATCTATCTATCTATCTATCTATCTATCTATCTATTTATCTATCTATCTATCTATCTTCATCTCCGTCTGTCCGTCTGTCCATCCATCCATCCATCCATCCATCCATCCATCCATCCATCCATCCATCCATCCATCTATTTATCTATCTATCTATCTATCTATCTATCTATCTATCTATCTATCTATCTATCTATCTATCTATCTATCTATCTATCTATCTATCTATCTATCTATCTATCTATCTATCTATCTATCTATCTATCCGTCCTTTCCATCTGACCGTCTGTCCATCCATCCATCCATCCATCCATCCATTCATCCATCCACCTACCTACCTGTCTGTCTGTCTGTCTGTCCGTCCGTCTGTCTGTCTGTCCGTCCGTCCGTCCGTCTGTCCGTCCGTCTGTCCGTCTGTCCGTCCGTCCATCCGTCCATCCATCCATCCCTCCATACGTCTACTTACCTGTCTGTCTGTCTAACCGGACCTGTTTGTGTTTTATGCAGTTGGTCCTATCCTGGTCGTAGAGCCTAAACCAGTAACAGTGGATGTCGACTCAGATGTCACTTTAAATTGCAAGTGGGCAGGAAATCCTCCGCTCACACTCACCTGGACAAAAAAGGGTTCGAGCATGGTGAGCATCTGTAACGATCTGTTTACCTGCTTTCTGATACACGTGCAGCTTTATTTCTTCTCCCAAGATAGAGGCTATCTCCATTCTCTTCTCTGTACTGTTTTGTCTGACATTTTCCTCTGACTTTATCTCTCTCCAGTGAGTTTTTCTTCACAGTGCTTTGCTCGTCTTCTATATTTATCATCCAACCATGTGTTGATGTTGATGACGCTGCTCTTTCCCTTCGTTTATTCCCTTTTAGATAATGTCCAATGCAAAGATTTTATAGTGTTTTTTTTCTCTGTCTTTCTTTCAGGTTTTGAGTAATAATAACCAGCTGTATCTGAAGTCAGTAAGTCAGGCCGATGCCGGTCAGTATGTGTGTAAGGCCATCGTGCCGAGGATCGGAGTGGGCGAAACAGAGGTCACACTCACAGTCAACGGTCAGTACAGCGATTTTATCTTATTAGACTATGAGAAATAATACAACTGTTTGAAGTGCATGTTTACATTGAGAAGAAATTGAAAGGCAGCACATTTTGTGTGAATGGTCCCTTACTGATTCATTCAGGGATGTAATTGTACATTACTTAGTGTAGATTTCATTATTTTGTGGTATTAATATGATTTTATGAATAAGATTCTCTGTTAATAGAGTTTTTATGCTAATTGGTTTTGGTTTGACTGTTTGTTGAGCAGGTCCACCCATCATCTCTAGTGAACCGTTCCAGTATGCAGTTCGAGGGGAGAGAGGAGAAGTCAAGTGTTACATCGCCAGCACACCTCCACCTGACAAGATTGTAAGTTACCTACATTTACACATACAAAGGCAAAACACTGCAGATGAACAGGGGGGTAGCTTTATTATCACTCCAGTTGACTGATTACATCAATTGCTAACATTTATTGCTTGGTTTTTCAAATGTTGTTTAAATAAGCAAATTAGCCATTATTGAATGAAATGTGTGCTAATTTGCATAAATTTCTAGCACAAAAATCTAACTCTCATGTGGGCTTTTTAAAATGTCTTTAATTAAAGAATTAAATTCAAATTCTTTTTCTAATATTTTCCAAGTGCTTTTTAACAAAGAGAAGATTTTTCTGAACACATTTTCAAAAAAGTATAATTTTTTAATAACTAATTTTTTTTTCCGTTTTTGCCATGATTACAGTACATAATATATCACTAGTTATTTTGCAAGATACTAGTGCAATTTAAAGGCCTAACTAGGATAACTAGGCAAGTCATTGAACAACAGTGGTTCTGTAGCCAATCAAAAAAAGAGGATTTCAAAAGAAATGTCATCAGTAGCGAAATTAAAATGACTTACTATATAACTATAAATCTTATATATAAACTATATTTGTGTTACATATTTGTTATTATATTGTGTTGTATATTTACAGTTTTTCTCAGTCGCCTTGGTGCATTTGTCACAACACTATTTACATATGCACGACAGTTAATACATTTCTTAAAACAATTAGTCATTTGTGCATATCATAGTAGCAGTTTCTCATGCCTTCCAACAAACTGCAAATGCTTTTGGACGTGCATCAATTGCTGTCATCTCTCTGCTGTTTTATAACATTATCGTTTGCTTATATCAGGTCAGTAAATGCTTGTAAATGCTGAATAACCATTCCATAGAAATCTAATAGTCCTCTTTTAATTACTTGAGTCATCACATACAAAAATGTTGAACTAGTTGACAAAATCTCTCAAGCAAATTTCATAAAACTTTTTAAATATATATATTTTTTGAAAATGTCTTCTAAATTGAACAATTTCATAAATGATTTACATACCTATGTGTGTTGTAGGGTCAGCTCCAATATGTGAAACATACATATTTCTTGTACTCAGAGACCTCACTAAATGCAGTGATGTCTAACTTTACTGTAGGTTTCAAATGGCTGTGCAAATAGTATATAGTGCTGTCTTGAGCATTTTCTGGACGTGTCACCAAAATCAGACTGTTGCATTGCAATAAATGTACAGAGTAAACTGTTATAATGAAAACATGACAAAGCCATTTGACTATCTTGTACATAAACAATGGTGTCTGGACTTTTCATCTTTCATTGACATCAATACTTGCTTTTGAGGAATAAGCTGTCCATTTTGAGCAAGTGACACACTTTTGCAGTTATCAACTAGGTTTAGCAGTTTGTACTAATTGTTTCGAGAAATGCTTTAACTGTTGTTCAAATGTAAATAGTGTTGATAGAAATGCACCAAAGAAGAAAAACTCTATTGTTTTGAAAAATGAACTAAGTACTTTGAGCAAACTACTGGCTTTTGCAAGTAATCCATGAGGTTTTGCCTTTTGTACATGGTGTTTTGAGAAATGCGCTTACTGTTTTGCAAATGTCAATTCTGATCTGAGAAATGTACCAAAGCGACTAAGAAAAAAAATCAGAGGTATGCAGATATACAGTATATAATCATTATTGCAAATGTTTATGTGCAGGGGATATGTATATTTCAAGTTGAATTAGTGCAACAAAGTGCCTTACGCTCAGCAACAGAGCAGCTTCCAAACCAGACTGTGACACAGTTGGTCAGGATGCTCTCCATTGCGCAGCGATAGACATTCACCAAGACGGCTGATGACAGCTGGTTCTTTTTAAGTTGCCTTAAGAAAAAGAGGTGCTGGTGAGCCTTCTTGACCAGGCTGGAGGTGTTGGTGGTCCAGAACAGGTCCTTTGAGATGTGCGTCCCTAGGAACTTGAAGGATTAGACTGGCTCAACGTCCATCACATTGATGTGATTGGTATCATGTGAGCCTGTTCATCTCTTCCTTAAGTCCACAATGAACTCCTTAGTCTTAGTAGTGTTAAGAAGCAGATTATTGTCTGTATGTGTGTGTGTGTGTATGTGTGTGTGTATGTGTGAAAAGTATACAAATGTGAAATTCAGGACAAAACAAACACTTGAAAGTGTATTGTAGATATATTTTTACATTAGACATGTCTTTTTCCTCAAACATTGTAATCATTTATATTATATTGTCGGCTCACCTTTAAGCACTTTCTACAGTTTTTAATTGAACTCAGGCTAGACCTAAAGCCGGAGTAACTCTTTCTGCGGTTGGCAGTTGTGCTACAGTATATCTCAATATATGTGGTTCCCAGACGCATCTCCTCTCTGAAACATGACGAGTGAGTCTAATTTAAAATGACCTGCAGCTCTGAAGCGTCTTCAGGATGAAATGTATGAAATATGAAATATGGGAGCGGAGCAGTCATTCCTTTTAATGCTGTAGCTTTTTCAAAATGTCTTGGTTTGTGAGGTAAATGGAAGCTTACCATGAACATGTGGAGGTATGCATTTTTAAATGTTCTCACAGCTCAGCGTGAATAATGCAGCAGTTTTTTGTGTTTTTGAAAGGAGAACTGCTGCTTTCTCACCATTATCCAGCCACATGTTTCAGCACAGAAAGGCCATTTATCCCATTGGCAGCGTGAAATATGTGTTCATGCGGGAGATGCCAAGCAGATACGGTTCGGGCGCATTTTGTGCACCTGAATATGCTTTTTAAATGCTAAATATTTATAAAGGATTTCGTTTTTCACTCCTGTATGAAATGCACAGATTATGTTGTACTGCAGTGTGTTATTTTGGTCCACTTCCGTCTTGCAGAACTGGCCACTGCAAATGATGGTATTTTAGTTTTATTTCATACTCTTTACTTCTCAGCAATATGATGATATTTCAATTATTGTCCAGGTGATATTATTATTATTAGTTGTTATTTAATTCAATTTAAATTCATCTTTATTTCTATAGTGCTTTTACTATGTAGATTGTGTCAAAACAGCTTTACATAGAAGTTCTAGTAAATTGAAACTGTGTCAATCTAGTATTTAGAGTTGAAGTTCAGTTTATTATAGTTTAGTGTGGTTAATTTTCACTGCTGAAAGTCTAAACACTGAAGAGTAAATCAATCCAGGGGCGACAGTGGAGACGAACAAACTTAACTAATTGATAAAAGTGAAGGAAAAAACTTTAAGAATAACCAGTCTCAGTTGTGCAGGACTGTATGCCATTTTTCATTTTCAAAGTAAAGCTATTTAAATATATATATAGAATATATATATATATATATATATAGAATGTTATATATATAATGTTAATTTTATTTTTAGCATTATGTATTTTTAGTATTTCATGTATTTAATAATTTTTATGATTAGTTATGCATGAGTAAAAAGTGATTTTTATTTCGCTACTGATGACATTTCTTCTGAAATTAAAATAAAAAGGTTGTTATTTAGATATTTAGAGCATTGTTGTCATTCAGCATAATGACAACAGCCAACTTACCTAACCCCATTTTTCCCCCATATTTGTCTTGATTGATATATATATTATATATGTTATATATATATATATATATATATATATATATATATATATATATATATATATATATATATATATATATATATATAACATATATAAATATGTTACCGGCAATGTGTGAAATCCCGGTATTATATAGAATGCCTAGGAAAAGTAAAAAATGTCTGATTTGTTTTAGCCAAAGTATGAAATATAATTTTTTGTAAAGATTTTGCATACTTTCCTAAGCATTCTTTACAAGTCCTAGGCATTCTATTCTAAGCCTTTTGATCATTGCGTATTTTAAAGTGGAAGGAATACGAAATAAAACATATGATGTTCTTACCGGAAAAATAATTACTGAGAAATAATTGTTACAGTATTGTCTGTAATGTGTTCATCACAACCACAATCGTCACCTCCAACATCACATATATAAATATATATACAATACAATAATATTTTTAAAATGCTTCTTGATTTAAAATAGAGAGACTTAGAGAAACTTGTTCATGCTTTTATCGGCAGCAGGGTGGATTACTGTAATGGACTTGCCTTCCAAAAAAGAAAGAAAAGTTGCAGTTCATCCAGAACGCTGCTGCCACGATACTGACCAGAACCAGAAAATCAGAGCACATCACACCTGTACTCAGCAGGGCTTAATTTTTTTTTACCTCCCCCGTCCGCTGTTCACTTTCACTTTAGTGTGCGACATGTCTCCATCCTCGGGAAAGTTGCCGGATCCGTTACCCCGATCTGTTTCAGGACCTCGCTATACAAATTAAGCACTGGTCCCCAGGTCTTTACACTGGCTCCAAGTTACATTCAGAATTGATTTTTAAGTATTATTACAGGTCTCTAAATCACTAAATGCCCTAGGACCCCAATACATTACAGATATGCTCACTGAATACAAACCCAATTGATCACTCAGATCTTTAGGATCAAATAAACTAGAAATTCCAAGGGTTCAGTAAAAGCAGGGTGAATCTGCCATTTACTGCGCCCCGCCTGCTGGAATCAGCTTCCAGAAATGAACAGATGTGCTTAGTTCCTTTAATAATCTGGGGTCGCCACAGCGGAATTAACCGCCAACTTATCCAGCAAGTTTTTACGCAGCGGATGCCCTTCCAGCATCTCTGAGAAACATACATACACACAAATTCAAACACATACACTACGGACAATTTAGCCTACCCAATTCACCTTTACCGCATGTCTTTGGACTGTGGGGGAAACCGGATCACCCGGAGAAAACCCACACGAACGCAGGGAGAACATGCAAACTCCACACAGAAACACCAACAGACCCAGCCGAGGCTCGAACAAACCTTCTTGCTGTAAAGCGACAGCACTACCTACTGCTCCCCTGTGTTGCCTTTTGGCAATGTTATGTCTAAATAATGCATTTATCATTTTAGTTTTTCAAAAATATATGTTGACTGATTTTTCTTTTTAATTTAGACTGTTGTTGTATAGACCATTTCAATGTGGCCATGTCATTGGCTCATGAACATTTTCTGCTTGTTATTAAACTAAATAACTGCAACAAGAGGCAATTCAATCATAACTTAATGTTAAAACAGCTATCATAACATTATTTATTAATATGTGGCTGTTTTTAGATTCTCGGAAGCTATAGAAACTAAAATTGTAAAACAGGAAATACTGTTGTTTTTGCTTACATCCCACAAAATGATCTATGTGTATCTTACATGTTTAAATAAATGGATGTATAAATGTGTTATTACAGCAGTCTTCCCTAACCTTAGTCTTTTGCTGATTTAGTCTATTTATTTATGAAGTGCATGTATGTGTGTGTGTTCTCCAGGTGTGGGCCTGGAAGGAGAATGTGTGGGAGAAAGAAAAGGGGACCCTGTCAGAAAGATACACCGTAGAGCAGAGCAAACCGAGCGCACAGGGCGGCGCAGTTCTGTCCACACTCACCATCAACAACATCATGGAGTCCGACTTCCAGTCCACCTACAACTGCACTGCATGGAACTCATTCGGATCTGGCACCATGATCATCTCACTGGAAGAGATGGGTGAGTAGATGCGTCTGGATACATACAGTTCACGAGGCTTCTGAATAAAAGAGACAGTGCTACATCTGTGAGCATCAAACATCTGTCTGCTCCACCTGCTCTTAAAGGGATAGTTCACCCAGAAATCTACATTTACCTACCATTTACTCACCCTCAAGTGATTCCAAACCTTTATGATGCTGCATCCCAATTCGCATACTTATACTACGTCTTAATAGTATGTACTTTTTTGGTGAAGAAGAGGTACGTACTTTTGAGTCTGTAGCTTTGGGAAACATTACTTCCTTGTTCCTCTATCAATCATCTTAACACATCATCCACTTTTCTTTTAGATTTAATTTCCTACCTTATTGGAGTTTTAGCTGTGTGATAATCTCCCACTCACGAGAAATCTCCTCAGGTCTTTAGATATTTACACATTTAGGAGTTAATGTCTAAATACCTCTGTATATAAGTTCACATTGCTGTTGCAGATTAAATATAATGTGGAAAGCGTGATTTAAATATTTTCCAGTTATCTAGATATTAAATAATAGTCATTCAAACAACTTTGCCAAAGCCTCCACTTGGCGGTTGGTCTCACACATCTACCATGTTTGTGGTTTGCAGTTTGCAGTGCTAATAGAATTCACGCTCAACACGCAGGATTTGTTTGTTTTGACACAATATTTAAAATGTGGCATCACCAAGAACCCACCCATCGCGCAACCTGCCACCTTGGAGCCTTGAGTGTCCTCTAATAAGGCCATACAGTTATATACATACATTAATTGGGTACAGGTTATATATATTGGAAAATGCTTTAATGTGTTCTAAACCACATAAATGGAAATTGCATATATATATATATATATATATATATATATATATATATATATATATATATATATATATATATATGCAATTTCCATTTATGTGGATATATATATATATATTTTATATATATATTGTATATATATATATATATATATATATATATATATATATATATATACAATATATGTATATATATATATATATATATGTATATATATATATATATATATTGTGTGTATATATATATATATATATATATATATATAAGTTTTAAATTAAAAACTAACCTATTGTAATTTATTAGGCAAATAACAAACTGGCCACATTCAATTTTATTTGAATAATAAAAACTTAAAACATAATAATAATAAAAGAGCTTCATGATTTTTCATGATTGCTTCGCTTGAGAAAAAAAAAGTACATTTTGATTGAAAATTCATGGATAACAACAGTAGCCAAATTAGTATTCAAATAAATTTTAATATGGGCTGCTTTTGGGGCTTCACGTCTTTTTATCTGTCTTTTTTTCAATAAAAAGGTTTAAGATTTAGAATAAAGTTATTTTTAAATCTTTTTCTCCTTAAAAAAGCATGACAGTAACGAAAGATGACTTCACTGACATCCGATTGTATGTTTTCTTGCACAGCTGGATGATGGACTCATGAAAAATAATAGTTTACATTGGCCAAAACTGATTAGCTGAGGCCACATTAATGTGACAGTCAACAGACAATTTGGCTTGGTCTTAAAGCCTTTTTCGATGGGATATTTTGAATTTCTGGACTTTTGTCATTGAGGGCTGGGTCTTTTGAATCACATGAAACCCTTGAAACCCTAGCATTTATCCATGTTTAAGTCTGAAATTTAATTCCTAATGATCTTGAAAAGGTCTTAAAATGTCTTAAATTTGACTTGATGAAACCTGCAGAGACCCTGAAACATGACCAACAGCAAACTGCCAAAGATGGCAAAACTAAACCATAAAAACAAAAACTATCAAATGGAGATTACATTGAAAAGTTTTGCATTTGACTGCCTTTTTATCATATGTCGGCATATTCACACAAAGAATACTCTGGGTTTTATTCCCTGAATTAGTTTTGAAACTTAAAGACAAACTTTGTTCACTTGATGTCTTCAAAAGTTCACTGTGCTGCTGCGTCATCCTCCGAGTACAGTAGAGACTCTGCTGAAGTAAAAGAGCACAGTCTTCAATAATAAATAGCTTGAATGGAATATCCTAAATATACTTCAGCTCATGTCAGTTCAGATTAAGACTGTCCTCTTTATTTAATGTACAGTATGGAGGTACAGTTATACTGATACAGTGCAGTTCTTTCTGTCTTGTCTGTTCTAATGAAGGTAAAAACATCAGAAGCTAAAAATGAATAAAATACATTGTGGGGCTTATCCTTTTTCTCTTTTTTGTTTCTTTGCCACAGAAATAGTGCCGGTTGGGATCATTGCAGGGGGAACCGTTGGCTGTTCGATTCTGCTTCTCCTGTGCTTATTGGCTTTAGTGCTGTTTTTGTATCGACAGCGTAAAGGAAGTGAGTTTTCAAACTTTAATACTTATGAAGTATTAGTAAATGTTTCATCATAAACAACTTTTTGTGATGGGCATAATTTGAAATAAAAGTCGTATTTTCACCAAGACTTATTTGTTTGGTTAAAAATACAGTAACACAGTATTATTGTGAAATATTATTGTAATTTTTCTGCCTTAGTATATTTAAAAATTATAGTTTGTAGTTTACCAAAGAATAATAATAAATCAATTTAGAGAAATTTAAGGACCTTAAAAAGTATTAAAAAGTCTTAAAAGCTATTTTGCTAGGTATTAAATTTTATATCATTTTTGATTATGTAATGTATGGTTATATGCTAAAGTTTGCCTGGATTAAATCTGCTGGATGCCGTGTAGTTTATGAAATCAATAAAATCCTGCTAGATTTGAAATCATGCTGGTTTGTTTACTGCAGTAACCAAGGCAACACCATTATTTCTGCAGTTCTATAGGCGCCAGCCTGCTGAATTAGCTTGATTTAATCATTTTTTATTTAGTGTATGAATAATGTTTTAGTTTTGAATTAGTTTCTTACATTAATATTTAGTAAATATACTGTAAGATAAAATCTTGCCAGTGTTTCAGGTAGTAAAGTGGTTAATAGGTCTTTAAATGTATGGCAAGTGTCTTTAAAAAAGTTCTAAAAGGTATTGAATTTCAGACTCTAATTCCTTTATATACTCTGATTATGGGTAATGTAGTTTATAGGGGGAAAAGTCACTATTAAACATGATTTAAAATTAGGTTTTAGTTAAGTTTAATCATTAAGAACAGATTTTCTTTTAATGTCAATTTCAATTGAAACATCACTGCAGATCAAAAGCATTAATTTCTCTTAAAAGATGCTTCTTTTTTTGGGGTAGGATTAATGATTTGATAATTGAGTCAAAAAATATTGTAAATCATCTGGGATCTAGATAATACTTTATCAGGAGATGTTATGTCAAGAAAGGTTTTTATGAAGATATGTGGAAGAATTAGGTTCTTAGCAAAGCAAGCTGTTCTATTGGATTCTTATTCTATAAGATTATTGGCAGAAGCTTTGATTCAGCCCCATTTTGATATAGTAGCTGCTCATTGAGTATGAAGGAAATGTTTGCAAAAGGCACAAAATGAATTAGTACGAATAATTTTAAAAAATCACCCCAGAGCGCATTTGCACAGTTTTTATAGAATTAGGTATGTTAACTGTCAATAAAAGAGTGTTTTTTTTTAACTGGGAATAATATGTAAAATCTTTTATAATGTGGTTCCTAGTCATTTGGTGAGCTGTTTTCAAAAGGTGAGGCAACAGCATTCATATAGTACTACTAGGGGTTGGGATTTTAATATTTGTTTATTTAAACTTAAAAGTGTAGTTTAGGGGTCACCAATCTTGGTCCTGGAGGGCCGGTGTCTCTGCAGGGTTTAGCTCTAACTTGCCTCAACACACCTGCCTGGATGTTTCAAGTATACCTAGTAAGACCTTGATTAGCTTGTTCAGGTGTGTTCGATTAGGGTTGGAGCTAAAATCTGCAAGACACCGGCCCTCCAGGAACAAGTTTGGTGACCACTGGTGTAGTTGGAAAAAAATGTTTTACACCAATGCAGTGATGTGGAACAAATTGCCAAAAAAACCAATCAAGGAAATAAAAGAATATGGTTCAAGAATGTGGTTTGCATGGTGGATGATAATGCTATTTAAAATAGAGTTGTATTGTGAATAATTTTGTTCCTGTATTAAAATGTGAAGGTACTGTTTGTTTTACGCATTAACTTTACTTTTCAGCCATACTTTGTTTAACGAGGACCACAATGGAAACAACCCCGGGGCTTTATTGTAATTTATCCTCGACGGTTTTATTTCAAAATGTATGGAATACTTGTATTTTTGTACAGTTTGTTTAAAATCTGTCAAATAAAAATTATATTTAATTCAAATAAAAAGAATATGACCAAACTTTTAAATTATAGTATTTAATGAACTGCACTATCTAAAAAGTATATTATAATATAATAATAATCTAATTACACTAACATGTAAGCCTGTTTTTCAGAAAGCAGAAGCAAAGGTCTCTTTAAAGACTCACAAAACCCTAGGGCAATCAGCCATATTTAAAAGCATCAATAATAGCAACGGAGACGTCAAAAAGCATGTTGACTGCGGCGATGAATCAGATGTTTACTTTAATGTTTATTTCCAGGTCGTCGCGGGGTCACGCTCGGCAAGCCAGATATCAAAGTCGAGACGATAAACAAAGAGAGCCACAGCCTGGAGGAAGATTCAGGCAGCGTCTCCACAGCCACGCGCATGGTGAAGGCCATGTACTCGGTGAGTATTTCTGACAACACACCGCAGACAGTAACCAAAGGAGGCAGAGGGACTGAGAGAATGCGGAGTGTTTAATGTCAAACATAACAGTTGAATTATTTATTACGAGTAGCTGCTTCATGTAAGATATTTCTTACCCTGAAATAAGAATTTCATTTTTAAAAAGAGTTAGTGCTGCATTAATGATTTTTTTCCTTAATAGATTGAAAGCATTTTTACCATTTAATCTATTATTTTAATAGCTTCATGTGAAAGTTTAATTATTTTTCAAATATTTCCCATTTGCTGTTTAATAGATCAAGAAAGATTGTACAGTATTTTCTGTTATATATGTTTTCATCTGGAGAAAGTATTATTTCTTGTATTTTGCTAGAATAAAAGTAGTTTTAAATTTACAATAATTTTAAGGTCAAAATTATTAGCAAAACACTGTAGTCCATTTTGTCCACCTAGTTAACCTAATTATCCTAGTTTAGCATTTAAATTGCACTTTAAGCTGAATACTAGTACTTTGCTAAATAACTAGTAAAATATTGTGTACTGTCATCAAGTCAAAGACAAAATAAATAAGTTATTACAAATGAATAAAATTAAATTCATTCATTCATTTTCCTTCGGCTTAGTCATCAGGGGTCGCCACAGCAGAATGAACCGCCAACTTATCCAGCATATAAATACACAGCGGATGTCCTTACAGCTGCAATTCAGTACTGGGAAGCACCTATTCACACTCATACACTACGGCCAATTTAGTTTACTCAATTCACCTATAGCGCATGTCTTTACACTGTGGGGGAAACTGGAGCACCAAGAGGAAACCCACGGCAACATGGGGAGAACATGCAAACTCCCCACAGAAATGCCAACTGACCCAGCCGGGACATGAACCAGTGACCTTCTTGCTGTAAGGTGACACTGCTAACCACTGAGCCACTATACTGCCTGGTTAATAAAAATATTATGTGCATAAATTAAACAGCAGTTGCAAAATATTTAAACAGTATTAAAATTTCACAGCCTAATTCTGCCTTCGACAGAAAGGCAGTTCTTATAATATTCATATTCTAAATTTTTTATATTACATTCTTAAAAACACTGAGCTAAATGTAGAGCAGGCTCTGGCTAAATATAGTAAGTGAATAAATGGCTAACCAGCAGGGTTGACAGTTTTTATAACCACAGTGGTTAATTTGAATCATTTAGAGTTTACAGTAAATAATGCCTTGTTTATAGTTTTTTCAATGAATTAAATTAGTCTGAATTAGTTCATTTAGATAATTACAACATCCTTGCACCACTCTGTTTCTGTCTCTGTTATACAGTTTTTCTCAGTGGCTTTGGTGCATTTTCTCACAACACTATTTACATTTGCACAACAGTTAATGCATTTCTCAAAACAATTAGAACAAACTGCAGTTGATAACCTGTAAAAGTGTGTCACTTGCTCAAAATGGAGAGCTCATCCCTCTAAATCAAGTATTGATATCAATGAAAGTGTCAGTGTCATCAAGATGAAAAGTCCAGACACCATTGTTTATGTACAAGATAGCCAAATGGCTTTGTCATGTTTTTATTATGACAGTTTACTCTGTACATTTATTCCAATGCAAAAAGTCAGATTTTGGTGACACTTCCTGAAAATGCTCCAGACAGCAGTATATACTATCTGCACAGCCATATGAAAACTACAGTAAAAGTTAGACATCACTGCATTTAGTGAGGTCTCTGAGTACAAGACACTGAATATGTATGTTTCACATTTTTACTACATTTGCTCTTTACAATTCTAATTTATTCACAGCATTGTGCAAAAGAATAAACACACCCTTATTTACAACAAGCATAAACTTCCTTTGGGTAGACCTGTGCACAACAGTAAACAATACTGCAGTACATATTGGAGCTGACCCTACAACACACATAGGTATATAAATCATTCATCAAATTGGTCAATTTAGAAGAAATTTTCAGGAAGAAAAAAAAAATATTTTAAAAGTTTTATAAAATTTACATTTCACAGATTTTGACAACTAGTTGAACATTTTTGTATGTAATGACTCAAGTAATGAAATGAGGACTATTCGTTTTCTTTGGAATGACTACTTAGCATTCATAAGTGTAGTTAATGTTGACTGACATGACATAAGCAAATGATAATGTTATAAAACAGCAGAGAGTTGTATGAAAGTAATTGATGCACGTCCAAAAGCATTTGGAATTTGTTTTAAGGAATGAGAAACTGCTACTATGATGTACACAAATGACTAATTGTTTAGAGAAATGCATCAACTGTCGTGCAAATGTAAGTAGCGTTGTGAGAAATGCAGCAAAGCCACGAAGAAAAAAAACGGTATTATAAAATGGTGGTTCATTCCACTGTAGCGACCCCTGATGAATAATTGTAAAAGCGCTATACAAATACAGGTGAATTGAATTGAAAAACTAAGCTGAAGAAAAATGACAATGAATAATATAATACTATACATATTATAATACTATATATATTATAATTAGTACTTGCAGATTAATTAACTTCTGTAAAATAAATACACAGCTCAATGAATGCTGCATTTAGAGGTTTTTGCAGCAAAACCTTCAATTCATCTTGATTTAATGTTGTGTCTTTTGGTGATTGTGCATTGTTTTGTGAATCTTATAAAAGTTCAACAACATCACTGACAATAATGTAATTAATGTATTTAAATCTAATCAGTTCTCATCCAGTATAATTGACCCCAAGATTTGCTCTATATGAATAAACTGTCCCTAAAACGTAACTTCACTCCCACTCCTCCAGCTCAACAATTGCTTTCACTCACTTTAACCCATAAAAGACAATTCTAGCCTTTCTAACTTTTTGTTTTCACAAACAAATGACTAACTATCCTCCAATGTATTTCCTCTTAAATAACATTTCCAAAGCTGAAATTAATCCTGTTTCTCTCTCGACCTCCCTCTCTTCCTTTATATCTTCCTTCTCCTCCTCTTATCTCCTGTTGGTTTTCTCCCCTCTTCCGTTGCATCTCTCTCCCCCTCTTGGTTGCTCTCTTGTCGTTTATGGTTTAGTTTTTACCTTCTGTGACCCTCTCTCCCTCCTCCCAGCCTTTTAAAGATGACATTGACCTCAAACAGGAGTTACGCAGTGACACGCTGGACACGCGCCAGGACTACGAGCTCAAGGTGAACACACACACACACACCGTAATACAAGTGATAGATGACTTGTGCTTCGTTTTACAAAAGCATACAGCTTCTCTAGACTTAAACAGACTTCAGGTTTCATGTGTAAATGCTTTTTTCATAGAGAAATTCATTTAAATTGCTAATTTTTGTTATAGAGCATCTGCACAGAAACAAAAGATGCATTATATTATGTCGATTGCTTGTTAAATTGTTTTTCAATGCCAGTATTATGCATTATAAAAGGTCATATTTTGGTTTTGGGGGTCTCCAACAACAGGCTGATATGCATGCAAGGTCAAAAAACACTTTCATTGTCTTTTAATATGTGTTTATTTTTTATTGAATTATCCCTATGATTCCCCTATGATTTGTTCAGTGATTCATTTGTTCCCAAACCAATCCTTGGTTTGGGAACAAATGCAGAGAGCAGAGAGCTAGCCGGCAGCCACCCACGTAAGCTAAGCAGGGCTGTACCCGGTCAGTACCTGGATGGGAAAGCTAGATTGCTGCCGGAAGTGGTGTTAGTGAGGCCAGCAGGGGGCGCCCAACCTGTGGTCTGTGTGGGTCCTAATGCCCCAGTATAGTGACGGGGACTCTATACTGCTCAGTGAGCGCCGTCTTTTGGATGAGACGTTAAACCGTGGTCCCGACTCTCTATAATTGTTAAAAATTCAAGGATGTCCTTCGAAAACAGTAGCGGTTTAACCCCGGCATCCTGGACAATTCTACCCACTGGCATTTGTCCATCATGGCCTCCTAACCCTTCCCATATCATAATTTATCTTTATCACTTCATCACTCATCACTCTGTCTCCTCTCCACCAATCAGCTGGTGTGTGTGTGTGCGGCCTTGCGCAAAATGGCTGCCGTCGCATCATCCAGGTGGATGCTGCGCACTGTTGGTGGATGAGGAGATCCCCCCCCATTGTGTAAATTGCTTTGAGTGCCCAGAAAAGAGCTTAATAAGTGTAAGGAATTATTATTATTATTATTATTATTATTATTACTACTACTTCCGGTGAGATTCTGAAGTACGCATCACATGCACGATGCGCTATCCCATGCTGCCCCGCGAGAGAATTCATGAATGGGAGTGAAGCGACGCAACTGGCGCAGGTAGGTCACATGACCATGACAAAATGGCAGAGTTAGCTCGTCCGAATTCCATTCATACTTTTCACATTCATACTGCATAGAACGGACTTTTCTAACGGCCGAGTAGTATGTTTAAATTCAAATGCAGTACCTACTGAGTAGTAGGCGGTTTTGGAAGCAGCCAGAATATTTGTCGCAATGTTGCATTTATGTGCCAAACCGCGAGAGAACTAGAGCAACTAGGCCCGAGTGAAGCTTCACGAAGCAGACTTCATGAAATTAGCGTGGCTTCACTTGTACCGTCGGTATTGATCTCACCTTGGTCAAGTACAAACAGCAACACGGAGAAAACTGACAAAATTGAAAGAGAACTGTTGAGCTTTATGAGAATGCAGATCAAATGTTTAGAACACGATTCCACTTGACTGAGAATGACGTGGATCTTCTTATAAGTGCTGAAGAGTTTAAGATAGATTGGCAAGTGCTCACAGGCCTTAAGTGGCTCCAACATTATATACTGTATGTACAACACTAGTCAAAAGTTTGTGGTCAGTAGGATTTTTAAATGTTTTTAAATAAGCTTCTCCTGCTCACCAAGGCTGCATTTATTTAATCAAAAATACAGTACAAATTGTGAAATTTTATTGCAACATAAAATAAATGCTCAAAACTAGTTTATAATTTAATTTAATCATTTATTCCAGTAATTTTAAAGATGAATTTTCAGTTTCATTACTCCAGTCTTCAGTCTAATGATGCTTCAGAAATCACTCTAATATTAATTGATTTATTTATTATTTTTATTACTGTTATTAATATTATTATTATGAATGGTAAAAGTAATAAAAGCAATAATGACTGGAGAAATAATTTCATTTGAAACTACATTCAATAAGAAAGCAGTTATTTAAAATTGAAATAATTATAAATAAATTCTCATTACCCTACATTCTATTTGCTCAAGCCCAGCTGAAAACAACAGTAAACAACAACAATAGAAACAATCAAGGGAACCCATATTACCACACATAGCCAAAATGACTAATTTGAACATTCACATGTTTGTTAATCCAATGGTTTTCAAAAGTATGTACATGCCACCTTTTCTTTGTTTTGTGTTTAGCCAGTTTCTTGAATTTTTCTCCATTTATGAGGAATAATGTTTGGAAAAAAGATATAATTATTATAAAACAGAGACATTTTTGATGTTCTGATAGCAATTCCTATTTAGATCACTTCCTGCCCTACATCTGAATTTCACACGTCATTAATGACGTCTTCTAAAAGCAACCTATAGTGTTTTGTTTTTCTCATAGCTCTGCCAGTGAGAGTAGGAGAGCTCAAATGAGTGAAATGAAAAGCAAATAAGAAGCATCTTTAAAGGGGGCGGGGCATGTCAGATACTAGAGAGCATTTGATTGGTCAAGATTTGATTAGAATTTATGAGAAGTATGAAGTGACATGAAGAAAATATTTTTGATCCATTTAGGCGGAATTGACAAACTGCAAGATTTGGATGTTTATACCAGTTTTATATATTCTAAAGAAAATGTTCACTGTTTTGGATCACACTAGCTTATATATATATCCTTAAAATGATTCATTCTCCTACTAACATCTGAAAAACTTTGTTTTAATTTCGTGGGACCTTTAAAGACAGCACAAAAATGCACATAAAGAGCTCATAAATGACTGAAAGAGTAGCACTAAATATCCTATCATCATTTTTCAGGACCCAACTAACGGCTACTACAACGTGCGAGCTTCCACCCATGACGAGGGACGTCCTGCTTCCCGATCCATGCACTACTCAGACTACCGCACCTCCAGTCAGCCAGGGGGTGCCGCAGCCGTGGTCAGCAGCAGCTCCGGGCCTCCTCCTGGGGCCACGGCGGGACCGGGAACACCAAGCAGCCTGGCTCCAGGTTCACGAGCGGGCTGCTACGACCCCCGGCCTCCCTCGAGACTCTCACACAACAGCTACGCCCAGTTCAACACGTTCACCCGCGCAGGACAGTCCCAGCAGCCTCCGCCTGGCTCCGGCCCACAGACTAGCGACTTCCCCGCTGAATGCAGCCTGTTGGACTCTTCCGGTCAGCTCGGCTATGAAAATTACGGCTATCCCTCACATTATCCCACGTTTCGGATGGGATTTGCTCCCCCCAGCCTCGCCCCATTAGAAGGAGGGCCAGCGTATGAGATGTACGGCGTGGGGCCGAGCGTTGGAGCCGGAGGAGGAGCCGGGACCCCAGAAACTGGACTTGGGAAATACGGCAGTTCCACACGGTTCTCCTACACTTCCCAGCATTCCGATTACTCCCACCGTCACACACAGAGGATGCAGACACACGTCTAAAAGAGAAACGGCATGTTTACGTAACATAAGTTGCGCTGTTATGCCCATATCGGCCATATAAGTACACACACTCATACAGATACACGGGGTGAAGATGATGAACAAACAGAAGCTCAGACTGAAAAAATGGGCCGTGATTGGGGAATGGGATGCAGGGCAGGAGCGTCTAAGCATTTATTTCTCAGCTGCTTGAGCTGAAAGCGAAAGTCACAATCAAGGAAGACTGGGGTCTAGAACAGATCTAAGATCTTGATAGCATTCAGTGAATTCTGAAGGCTTTGAATGAGCTGGAGTATAAAGGTAATTCCTGAGAAATGAAGGGTCTCTGACAGAGATGGACGTATGAGATCCATGTTTGAATTCTCTTCAATGGCTTCTCCAGCTTCTCTCCTTACACCTAATGTAGTTTAAAATGACATGCATTGCACAATTCACAGCGGGGTCCAAAAGTCTGAAACCATCAAAAGTCTTTTCTATTTACCAAGTTTTTTATATTGACTGACTGTTCCCAGCGAGCATTTTTTGTTTTTAAAAGATGTCTAATAGATGCCTAATAGATGTCTAAACATAGTCGTCTTGGCTAAAACCAGGCTAAATTTGGGCTGTCATTGAAAATCGTCTCAGAATAAGCCAAAACTAGACTAGTCATCAAATAGACAGAAATGAATGACTACACATATGAAGTCTGTCTAATCTAAATGTGAATGTTGATCTTGTAAACTTTTGAAACTCAAATCATGATGAATACTTTGGATCATGGCTTCAGAGTTCCATATGATCGTTTTTGGTGTATTGCCATATTAAAATATGGTAGAATATTTTCTCATATTTGAATCCATAACAGCAGTGGTTCTTAACCAGGAGGTCTCAGCAAACTCCCAAGGGCTTCAATATGTCTTCCTTATTTAAAACTAAACAAAACAACATTAAAAAACATCTAAATTCAAGATATTTCCTATTAATTTACCCCTTCAACAACAACAACAACTTCTTTTGTGAAGTACCAGGGTAGCCTAATTTCACACAATTTCATGTAAATATAATCTCCATCAATTACTGAGTCAATTACTTAGTTATTTTTATAAGTAGTATATAATTTTCTAGGAAATTGTGAGTAAAACATATTTTTTATATTCTTATCCAGGAATTCACGAAAATGAACTAAGATGTTGTGAAAATGTTGGAATGGGGCTAGAGTTATGTATTACCACTGCATTAAACAAATACTGCACCATAATTAGTTGGTGAAAGCATTAAATGAATTTCAAGAAGTATTAAATCTGAACACTCAGATTATAAAAATGGACAATTATTAATCTACACTCCCGAGAAAAACATTTGCAAATGAACAGAAAACCTACTGACAGCTTGTTAGGCAACTTTTTCTCCTGTTTACATGATCAGCCCAGACAAGATCATTTCAGACTAATGCAAATGTCTTTTTTTTGCTGCTGAAGTATTACATATTCAATATCAAAAGTTGTGGAAGCAGATACCAAGGTGCAATAATGCAATTCAAAAGCATAAATAAATTACTAACAACCTTATACATGCTATTTCTGTTAAACAGTCAAAAACCATTTTGGTGTATACATTAGAAAAAAGACTTTCAGACCCCACTGTAGACAAAAATGTGACAAAATATCAAACATTTTAAGTACTATTTTCCATACTTTCTCAAACAAAAGTCTGCATTGGACAAAAGAGCACACAATACTCATATTCAATCACCAAAGTGGCAGATAAATGATTTTTATTACTTTGTATGTAAATCAGCATCTACCTAGCTATCCAGTTTGCTGAGCTACCTCTATAAACAGGTTACTAGCCTTCAGCGCAGCAACTTACTCCAATCACGTTTTCAGGGCAGAAACGTCCGACTTCATTGAAAAAGCACTTTTAAGCATTTGCAATAAAACACATCACCCTTTAAATTGAAGGAGAGCAGTTGATGAAGCCACTGAATTGGTTTCAGACATGGCCAGAGACAGCCATTTAGTTCACTATCGTACAAACATTCAGAACCATGGAATATATATATATATATAAATATATGAATCTATATACATATTCATATACAGGAATGCCCCACTCTTTTCCATGGTGCTTTTGTAGTGGGGTCATTGTTTGCACTGCATTCCAGTATTCTAGCTTAGATTACCCTCATAATCGATATGTAATCTCTCATTTGCACACTAGGCTAGAGCGTTCTCTTTCTATGTTTTGAATATTAGCGAAAATCTTCTTTTTTTTTGTCATATTTCTGTAAGTGATTCTGGACCAAAGGTTCAACGTTAGAGTATCAGTCTTTATTTGGGTGATATTCACCTCAATGAACAAAATATGCAGATTTGTTTGTTATCGTTGTTTGCGAATTTTTGCGAAGTTTTTTTTCTTCTGAGGGTTGGAAACAGCAGAGAAGGTCTCAAACTGATCCAGCCTTAGGTATCCAAACTCACCCTTACTGATCTAAGATCAGGCTGCTATCACATTCGTCTTAAAGATTACAGAGATCAAATTGGAACTCATTTAAAGGAATAGCTCTCCAAAAATGAAGATTTTCTGTTTATTTATTCACCTGCTGGTCTTTGAAGATGTAGGTGACTTGTTTCTTCTGTAGTATTTTCGCCAAAACTGCTTCTTGGTGATTCAAATACAAGTCTACAGCTACTGGCACATTTAGAGTCAAAAATAGACATACAGGCTACCTAGAATTATTACCCACGGCTTCTGCTGATACCTTAGTCGCATTGTCAGGCCAGTGCGAGCCAGGGCTTTCATCAGGCTGGGCCAGTACCCTGGGAGCTTGAGGAATAAAGCCGAAATCACATTGCTTTTCTACTATCGGGCAAATAGCTCGCTGCGTGTCACAAAAAAACTGCCCGAATTATGCCCCCCCCCCCCCCCATCCAACGCCACACAACTCGCCCAGTTCAGCTGGAAGAAAAAACTCAAATTAGGATCACAGCATAACCTCGCATCATTACGAGAGCTGCAGGGTCTTAAAGAAATAGTTAACCCAAAAATGGTAAATCTCATCTTTTATTCACCTATTTGAGTTAGTTTCTTCTGGTGAATACAAGGAGCTATTTTGAAGAATGCTGATACTGTAGCTGGCACCCACTGACTTCCATAATATATGTTATTTCCTACTATGGAAGTCAATGCATGCCAGGCACCAGGATTCTTCAAGATGTCTTGTTTGTGTCCACATGAGGGAGAGTAAATGATGAGGTAATTTTTATTTTGGGTGAGGTAACTCTTTGAGAAGCGAAATGATCTACCTGTGCAAGAGTAAAACCTCTGAGTACATGCTGTTTGTTAAGTAATGCACAATTATGTTGTGTAGGGCCCTATAATTTCCTCCTTATGGAAAACTCGTATAGAATCCAGTTAAAGAATAACTTGCCAAATTTTGAGTGAATATTTAATAAGTGATGCACTGGGCCCCAACTCAGAGGACTCTAGTTGTGTTGTGCATCAAAACTGAACTTTTGCTTATCTTGTATGTTGCAGACTTAAATAAAAAGTAACCCAGCGGGCACCCTGATGTCAAAATGATATGAAATTGAAATCAAGCATGATGTCAAAAAAATATTTAGGAAAATTCGAATCATTTGATGTTAAAACCTTGACGTCTATTTGACATCCACACATTGATACCCTATTGACCACCTAAGAAATGAAGCAAAAAGGCATTATGAGAAAAGATTTATTCATCTGAAAGCTTCAATTTTTTTTTTTAATTTTCACTGGTATATCTCTAAAATGCATGTACTGTAAGCTACCTTGATATTAAAATGACATCAAATTGACATTTATAAATATTGGCATCAAAAACAGGTCAAAAACAAGGCAGTCCTGTAACTGATTTTTGACATGTTTTTTAGCGCAAATGTTAGATGTGAATTTGATGTCATTTTCACATCAAGGTAGTCACTTGACATCAATTCCATTTTCATTTTTAATGTGTTTTTTGATATGTTTTACATGTCATTTTGACATCAAGGTCCCTTCTGGGAATATTTTATTCCAATGTGCAATCTCATTGGAAAACATTGACTTTACAAACACCCAAAACGCATTATACTTCATTATGTAACAGGAAGTCTTCATTACAGACTTTTTTTTTAAAATCTTGTATATGTTTTTATTTTATTCTAAAAGTGTTAACAGACATTGACTTCCATTATATGAATCACTAAACACTGATTTATACCTCTGCATCAAGCGAACACGTATGGTTTGGTGCAGCCTTTGCGCGGTCGCATAGCGCAAGCTCTGTGATTGGTCAGCTTGGTAGCTGTGACCAGTGTGGGCGGGGCCGAGAGTTGCGTGAACCCGTTGGAGCGAGTGTTTACAAGTGTTTTGTCCTGTGAAGGAGATCCTAATGGAAACTGTTGTTGTTTTATTAAAGTTGTTGCTTGTCCACTGGCTCCCGCCTCTAAATGAGCACGTTTTAGCTACTTGTAGTGTTCATAAAAAGCAAAACCCCCATGAAAAAACTCGACAAAGACAAACATAAACACCTACTGCCAGCTAGCATTTTGTAAGTGCTATTGCAGAGTACCACAAACAGCACGCAGAAGTATAAACGCACAACTAGACGCAAGGCAGGCACCGTGGGTCACGACGATCACTTGACGCAGAAAAATATAAACCAGCCTTAAAGACCACAGTTTCAGCTGAAGGCTGATTTATACTTCTGCATCAAGTGATCATCGTGACCCACGGTGCCTGCCTTGTGCCTAGTCGCAGTTATACTTCTGCGTGCTGTTTGTGTTACTCTGCAAAAGCACTTACAAAATGCTAGCTGGCAGTAGGTGTTTATGTTCGTCTGTGTCGAGTTTCTTCACGGGGGTTTTGCTTTTCCTGAACGCTACAAGTAGCTAAAACGTGCTCATTTAGAGGCGGGAGCCAGTGGACATGCAACAACTTTAATCATTAGGTAAACATAAAACAACAGTTTCCATCTGGAGCTCCTTCACGGGACTTGCCACTTGTAAGCACTCGCTCCATCGGGTTCGCGGCTCTTAGCACCGCCCACACTCATCACAGCAACCAAACCGACCAATCATAGAGTTTGCGCTACACGTCAATACGACATGTAGTTCAACTTTTGAGAGGTGTGCATCAGCGTGAGCCACGGCGAGGGGTATCCGACCGCATTGAAGGCCATGTCCGAGCATACACGTGCGCTTCACGCAGAAATATAAATCAGCCTTAAAACTCTTCTTTAATATTCTACTAAAAAAAAAGGGCACCTACATCTTACTTGTCCTACAGGTGAGTAAATCAAAATGAGAATTTTAGATGAGCTATTTCTTTAAGGTCTGAAGTGGTTTTATAAACATCTCGAAAACACTATTACGGACTTTGATGTGTAGTTGGAGATCGGAGAGTCTTTCACTCACTTATTCACACAGACACACACCTGATATTTGTGCCAAACACAGACGACTAACTTGAAGTATTTTACACCAATTTTGAAAAAAAAAAAAAAAAAACTACCTTTCGGAGACCAGAAACGGTCTTTGGCTTTGAGACAAAAGCAAACAAACTGTCTTCAACGGGGTTTGAAGGATGGCGTTATCAAAGCAATGAGAAACCTGAGGATGAAGACAATCCCTCGGAACAGCGAGACACTCGTTTTGGTCTTCGTCCACATTTCCAACGAGCCCTGTAAATACTTTCCCATGTGTAATTCCGACTTCAAGTATTATTTTACAACATCCAATGTGATGCACTCTTTAAATGCAGTATTGTTCTGTTTTTCAATTGCGTGAAGAAAGTAAGCGATGGTACAGTACTTACGAAGAGTACGAGCTGGTACGATGCTATTAAAAGCGTTCGGGAAAACACCTTGATGACCTACTTGAGCTGCCAATCACTCATCCTTTATCTCGATGGCGGGGGACCATTTTGTTGGACAGTATTTGCATTCCCCTTTTGCCGTCTACGAACTTGAAGCTCCACAAAGTCAAGAAGAAGGAACATATGAAGGAGTGAACAAACTAAAGAGTGGCCTTAGGAAAACATGACTTTTATATTCCCTCACTTTATAAAGCGGCTTAAGGCCAGAGGAGTGTGTGTAGACAACGGTATGCTTGTGTTTTTGTGCGTGCGACTGAGCGTGAGTGTGAGGATATGAAAATCTTTATGTAATCCGTTCATTTACTTCTCTCACGTTCCTGCTCCAATACTTTTTCTTCTGCTGGTAGGAGTGTATCCTGTATAATTGTGTCTTAGAAGATAAACGTTGACCTTACTGTACTGTTTCTTGGTAGCTGAAAAAACAATGTTTGACAGATGTACAACAAAAAAGTTATTGACTTTTTTTTTATTTCTCATTGATTTTTTTCCAATATTTTTTAAAAATGTTACGTAATTATTTTTTCACAGTATATCAGAAATAAAAGCACTGTTTTTCTAAGAATCAGTGACGTATTGAATGTGTGACTGATACTTTGCATGTACACTACCTGATAAAAGTTTTAAAAGTCGAGTATTCAAGCAAATAATAACTTGACTTCTAGTTGATCATTTGGTATCAGAAGTGGCTTAATTGAAAGGCAAAGGCCTCTAGATTACGCTTATTTTATCAAAATAAAATATAATCATGCCTTGATTTTTAATTCTTTAATTAGGACGGTAAGGTCTGACTTTGCTTAGACAAAAAAAAATAATGTACAGTATAGAATATAACATCATGGTGCAGTGGATAAAGAATGAATATTGTGTATGACTCCCATGAGCTTGGAGGACTGCATCCATACATCTCTGCAATGACTCAAATAACTTATTAATAAAGTCATCTGGAATGACAAAGGAAGCGTTCTTGCAGGACTCACAGAGTTCACCAAGATTCTGTGGATTCATCTTCAATGCCTCCATCTTACCCCAGACATGCTCAATAATGTTCATGTCTGGTGACTGGGCAGGCCAATCCTGGAGCACCTTGACTTTCTTTGCTTTCAGGAACTTTGACGTGAAAGCTGAAGTATGAGAAGGAGCGCTATCCTGCTGAAGAATTAGCCCTCTCCTGTGGTTTGTAATGTAATGGGCAGCTCAAATGTCTTGATAGCTCAGGCTGATGATGTTGCCATCCACTCTGCAGATCTCTCGCATGCCCCCATACTGAATGTGTTAGTTTTCTGTTTCCCAAACCGTGATTTTTCCTTCACCAAACTGGACTGATTTCTGTGAGTATCTTGGGTCCATGATTGTAGTTAGTTAGTTAGTTAGTTAGTTAGTTATTTAGTTAGTTAGCTAGCTAGTTAGTTAGTTTGCTTGTTAGATAGTTTAAAAAATCTGAAAAACCGAAATTGGTGTTTGTGAGGCCAGCAG